AATGTAGGTATTGGTAGATTTAAATATTAATTTTATACAGAACGATTATTGATAAAAGTAAGTAAGTAATAACAATAAATAAGATGTTTGTCCCAGAACTCAAAACAGAATTTTGTCCACTACTTTTACTACATATATACGTATGCGTCTATTTGTTAGCAAAGGCTATAGGAAAGTATAGTTAGTCTTTATTTAGAAAATATTCTGGTTTAAAAAAAACGTCTGGTTGTTCCTGTTGGAACAGTGTAGATTACATTATGTTACAGTTTACATTGGTTATTCAGAGGCGTAGCCAGAACATTTTTATAAGGGGGTGCCAAGGCAATAGCCAATCTACACTGTGGCCGAAAGTGGATAGGAGGCAAAACCTCAGGGTCAATCTACACTATTGCAACAGGAAAATTACCAAGCACAACAGGCATATTTTCTAAATAAAGACAAACTATACTTTCCTACAACCTTTGCTAACAAATAGACACATATATTCAAACATCTGTGCTTTCTAGATAAAAGGTATAGTGGATACAATTCTTTCAGTTTTGAGTTGTGGGGCAAACATATCTTCCTTTGTCATTACTTACCTACTTTTATCAACAATTATTCTGCATAAAATTGATATTTACAAGTTCTAATATATACAGAAATTGATGATTAGGTTTTTATTAAAATATTAATTTATCTATGATTTCACTGAAGACTCCTAGATTACTTTTAGAGACACATAATTTTCTCTTTACCCCATATAACACAAAATCTATTTCTGAAAAGAGCATGAATTATCATCTTTAATGTTACTATAATGATGTGCATAATTAACCACATTGTTTTTGTTTTCAAGTAATTGTTAACATATGAAAAATGAAAATGTTTTTAATATTCTACTTGAGAGTATTAGTGCTGCTACCGTCTGTATTAAGCCGGGCGTACACTGTGCGATTTTTTTCAATCGTTGCACGCAGCTACTGCTCACGATTTATGTTGGCCTGACGCTCTGATGCGATCTACCTGCTCACACTGTACGACAAATTGCAGGGTTTAGTCGTACAGTGTGAGTCACAGCTCACGATTTTTGTTCGGCCCGACGCTCTGATGCGATCTACCTGCTTACGCTGTACGACTAAAAACCACGTCGGACTTAGCTCCGCAGTGAGATGGAGCTACTCTGACTCATCTATCCGGAAGCCAAACAAATAGAAGGGGAATATTAAGCTCACTAGAGTGAACTGAGCTGCCTTGGCAATTTGGGCAATTTTTTGCTGAAAGCCCGAAAAAAAAAGGCAATGACGTATTTGGAAAAAAGACATGGCTGAGCAAACGTGGCTACTACGGTCTGTCAATTTTACAGACAGACCTGCATTTCATTCATTGCATTCCTGCCATGCTGCTGTGTTTACAGAAGATTCCTTGTTTGCACATACGCCCTGAGCGTTTTGCCCACTATGGTCGGGAGAAAATCCTCACAATTCCTGATCGGGAGGTGGTCGTGAGAGGCTGATCGCCCCTTGTACCCCCCTGTACACTACACGGTTGAAAGATTCTCGCAGGACTGGAAAATCGCCCCCAAAATCGCACAGCTTACGCCGGGCTTAAGAGGGGAAAAAAGATAGGGGTGGCCAATGATTAGCTAAGGGTGGCCCCCATCTAGCTCCGCCCCTGTGGTTATTGCCTGGCCACCCTTATTAAAATATTCTGGCTATGTCTCTGAAATGAAATTCCTCCTAGGGCCCTGTAAAATCCTTGGACCGGCTCTGTAAACTTGTCATGAATAATAAGTGGCCCCCTAGATCACCACTTTTGTTGGTATTATCATTATTATAATTATGTAGTTTTAGCTGCTGTGCTTGCATGTGTGTGTGTGTGTGTGTGTGTGTGTGTTTGGGAAGGAGGGGGGGTTAAGAATAGCTGATCTGCATGCTGCTGAATGAAGTGTCGGTTTTCAGCGCTCTAAACTCCTCCTCTGCTGCTTTCCTTCCACTCGAACAACCCAAGTAGTTTTTCGGAGCGCACTCTCCGGCAGCAATGTGGAGGGAAGGGGTGAGCAGTTGAGCTGTTTTTCTTTTTCCCACTCCCACTTCTTTTTGAGTTCTCCTTTTTTTTTTCTTCCCCTCCTAGTTTTGAACTTTGCGTTTTTTTAATGTGGTGGAGGGGGGAACACAGCGCAACTGTTCAATAAAGGGAAGGAAAGCAGTTTCTGCGACGCGTGTTTTCTTTTTTTTTTTCACTTGAGCCATTGTTTCTCACGCATGGATATTAAGGAGATAAAATCATCGGACGCGCTTCTCTCTTTTCAGTAGGGCTGTAGTTAATGCTGGCTCTGTAAGGAGGAGATCATTATTCCTGTTCCTCAGGAGCGCAAGCGCTAAAAACGCACGCAGGGACCGCAAGTTTGTCCGCAAGCTGCGAAGGAGGTGAAACTTTGCCAAGTTTCTGCGCATCCGGCCACAGAAGCCAAACATTTATCGTTATTTTCCCAACTTTTCTCTCTATTTAACTGGATTACTTTCCTAAACCCGGTCATGGCCTACGGAATTAACTTCAGAGGATGAAAGAGGAGTTGTGAAACATGAACTATTGTAGTTAGTTCACTCCACCAGTGGCACGTTTTGGACTGTACGCTGAGAGAGAAAAGAAAAAAAACTGCTGTTGCGCTTGTGTGCGTGTTTTTTTTTTCCTTCCTTCCTTTTCGATCCCTTCTACTCGGGTGCCAAAATGCCACAGCTGAACGGAGGCGGCGGGGACGATCTGGGGGCCAACGATGAAATGATCTCCTTCAAAGACGAAGGGGAGCAGGAGGACAAGATCTCCGAGAACGTCTCAGCGGAGAGGGACCTGGATGACGTCAAGTCCTCCTTGGTCAACGAGTCGGAAAACAACAGCAGCTCATCAGACTCGGAGGTAAAATACATATATCTAAATATTCTTTTGCAAACACATAAATAAAGTAATTTATAAAAAAAAAAAAAAAATGAGTTTGGAGTTTTAATCCGTTTGCATGCATGCATGCATGCCCCCCCTTCTGCAGCAGGCAGAGAGGCGCCCCCAAACCAGACCCGACTCAGAAAGTTATGAGAAAACAAGAGATTACTTCAGTGAAGGTACACCATTCAAGATTTTTAAAAATAAAAAAAATATGTGCAAATATTGTTTTTTTTTTGTCCTTATAAAACCCTCCAATGTTTTCCCTTCTCATGTGCAGCACTAAGAAGACAGCAAGATGGAGGCTTTTTTAAGAGCCCTCACTATCCGGGCTACCCGTTTCTTATGATTCCTGACCTCACCAATCCATACCTATCCAATGGTTCACTGTCTCCCAGTGCAAGAACAGTAAGTTTAACCCCGGTGGGATATTTGGCCCTCTTTCTTCATGCTCTCTCTCTCATTTCTGTCATTCTCTGCAAAAAAAAAAAAAAAAAAAAAAAAAAAAAAACTTTGGCCGTGCGTGAAAGTTCCTTGCGCACTGCCAGACCGCCATATTCCCTCCAAGTGGCCTCTCAAGGAGCAGTACTAACTACCTCTTTGTTCTTTTAGGGGGTATAAATTTCTCCCTGCCACCCACTCAATGAAAAGGCTTGCATTTGAACTTTTTTTTTCTGTATGAAACTCATCTTTATTTTATAACAAATATCCAAAACTATTTTACTTTTTTTTTTTCAATTTCCCCCCCTATTTAAATGTTTCTCTTACCTCCTGTTCTTATAAGGTCATATCCTGCAGAAATCTCTGATCTTTATTTTGTTTTTTTCTCTTGCTTTTTATTATTTTGTGTTTTCCTTGTAATGCAACTCAAATAAGCAAGTTTTCTTCCCTTCATTTCAAGAAAAAGGTGTGTTTTTAACTTCATCTTAAATTAACAACAGTGTAATGTAACCGCTGGGCCCCGTGGAAGATGTTTTCCAGAGACTTTCATTGTCTAGATAAGGATGACAGTCTCAGGCAAGTGTTGTTGACGCAGTCGGCAGGGCTGCGTTTACTTGTTGCATGGTGGTGTCACGCTGTTTATTTGCAGAAGTTTTAAACTCATTCTATTAGATTGTCTCCTTTCTGGTGAGTGGACATACGTCACGTTTGGTAGAACAGTTTCCTCCAAACATTTGGGATCTGGATTTAGTAGAAATATTTTAACTAAGCAAACTTCCTTAGGATAATCCCTGTGTTCCTCTGAGCTAGTCCATCTCCCCACCCCATACTTGTCACTTCCCCTCCCCAAAAAACGAGTACTTTCGTTAAAGCCTGGCAGGCATCTGACTGAAGGGACTCCCCTCCCCACCTCTCTGTCTCCCTTTTCACTGTTTCAGGCCCACTCACATCGCCTCCCTGCACCTTCCATTCAATTAGAAAGGCGTTAGTTGACCATTGTTATTCTGAGCAGTCTTGATGGCTTCATTGGAGGTCCCCATTGGGGCTCATTAACTAAATGGCTGCTTCTGCTCAGACCGTGTGTTGGGTAGTTGTCTCTGTCTTTAGTTTTGTTGTTTCAGAGGACCCTCTGATTTAGGGATGAACATTTTTTTCCATAACTTCACCTGTTTCCTAATACTTTTGGTAAAGTTTAACCTTTTGGTCATTGAAGCTCAAATCAGACTAGGATCTTGTAGGGCATTTGCAACTATCCAAGTGCTCAAATATGTTGTTTTCAGTCCAAACATCACTGTTTTTCTCATCTCACTCATAAAAATCTAGCAATTTTTTTCAACAACAGTATCATAGACTTTAATTTTAAGACGATAATTGCATTTTTATCTAAGGTGCAGCTTTGGCTTTAAGTCACTTCCCTCCTTCACCCTTTTTATACCCAAATATTCCCATTGGATTTTTTCCTACATCTATTTTGAAACCCTTTTGCATTTATACATCTCAGTCATTGCACAAGTTTCTAGTTTGTTGTTTAGTCATATCGTATAAGACGGATCTAAGAAGATAAATCAATACATAACTTTAAATATGTTGTGTGTTAGCAAAGCTTTGCATTTTGCATTTGGTCTAATATTAAATTTGGCTCCTGCTGGCAACTAATATTTATTGGAGACCAGTTAGAAGGCTTCATAACACTATAATATGTGGGATATAAAAGTGAATTGATGGTTATCAAAGTGGGTGTGAAACGTTCCCCACAACAGTTACCAATCCACACATGTCTGATATGAAATGTCTGCTGCTAACAGCTTCTCTTAGTGTTTGTAAAAGGTGAAATGGTGACATGATTAAAGAGCATCTTCTTCCTTTGAAGGGGATTCTGAACCTTTTTTATTTAATATAAAGAAAGTTCAGTTTATTAGATTGAACCAAAACACCAGTCCAGTGGGTACATGTTAGTAAACGGCCTTAAAACTTAAACGTTTAGCTTTACATTTTAAACCCTTTTAAGTATGATGTCTTTATTTAAGTGCTTAGATAAACAGGGCAACGATTATTGTGTTTAAATGATCCAGGTTGTTATTTTACTCTGTGATGAGCAACATGGAAGGTGCAATGTTAATCATTTGGTGGTTCATCTGTAACTTCTCTTCAATGGTATGTTATTATTAAGATGGAAATATAGCGAGGCATTCATTTCTAACTTTCTCTCCAAGTCTGCCTGAGAAAATCTGGGTTATTTTACAGAGTGACAAAACTTTAAGCCCCAGATAGTCATATCTCCTTTCAGCAACTCTATTTTATGCTTTAAAAATGATCTATTATGCCATATTTTTCAAAATAGCTCCATATTTCCATTTAAGTGCCTCATAAACCTCTACTTTATTCATTGTGCCCTTTTTATTTTTTACTGAATTAACATTAATTTCCAGAGAAAGGCAGCGGAGAGGTTACTTTGTTACATTTGCTTTTAAGTTTGTCTCCTGAAACTCTATTTTCACATTTTATTTAGGGAAATGAGATGTCCTCATTAGGTCATTTGTGTTTAGTTGTATCGAAGTGAATTACATTCAACACAACAGAGTTTAAACTACTGAAAACCTTAATCGTAGGAGTTACACAACCACGCTTTCTAGTTACAGAGAACTCTATAAATATTATATAGAAAATTAGGCTGAATATGTTCTTAAAGTATGTATTATAAGATAAAGAAAGTACAAAACTATGATGGGGAAGGAGGCAAATGACCATATGGTGACAGTATGTAGGTATAATCTATACATTTTACTCATCTCAGTATATCTCTTTGTTTTCTTGTATAAGCCTCTCACTTCCTATTGTTTTTATGAGCTAAAACAAAATTTGAAATTAAAACCGCCCTCTTTGTAGCTTCAGGCAACGCAGTGAATAATTACACTCCTTTCTAGACGTCTAATCCTCCATATTTAAAAAAGAGAAAGAAAATGAGGTCAATGGGACAGAGTGCGCTGACTGTGTCAATCATCGCTGTGGCAGAAAACAAGCAGGGAGACAATGGCTGGCATACTTAGCGGTCGTCTTGAGGTCTCCATATTGCCCTGCCCTCATGGCTTAGTGTGAATGCAATGCAGTGAGTGTGATTGATGAGAGGCTCATGTTGGAACCTTTTTAGACTTGCATTCTGAGCGCCGGGGGCTGTTCAGACCTGTGGATCCCGATCGGGTTTGTCGCAGACCCGATACGGCGGCTGATATTTTACAAGTGGCCTGCAGCGGCACGTCCGTCCAATGGCTCAGTTAAAGCTGCTGAGCTCTGTGGTTAAATTTATCGCAGCATCACCTCTATGTCTCCGAGAAATGTGCAGATTAGCCGGAGAGATGGGTCCAAACAGTCCCAGAGCTTGGCAAACATTTTATGCTATTGCATGGCTTGGAAACCCCTGCTGGGACTGGGAGGTTTGTTTTATGGGATTCGGTTGGTATGTGGTTGGTCTTGTACTGCAGCGAGACGCTTTAAAAATGGCATCTGTCAACCAAAATCCAAGTTTCTTTCTCTTATTTCAAGGTGGGGAGCTACACATTTACAGCTAATTATGCATGTATGACTTTAGGCAAATCCTGGATGTCTGTGCAGTGCTCTCTTCTCTTCCTCCCTTATGATATCGTCACGTTTGCCATGCATGTAGCAAAACGCAACAAACTGGTGCTGTTGCTCAAGAGCCATTACGCAGTTATTTCACTCAAGAATGCGCTACGCGATAAAGGATTTAAAGTCCCCAACTTGATGAAAAAAATGTGAATGTGGCAACCCCATCACGAGCAATGAGAGACAGGCCTACATGGGATCAGCACAGAGTTCCCCGGAGGGCCAAGCATAACTGATTTAAAGCCTGCTCAGAGCTGACATTCCTCTGTAATCCACTGAGAGCTGAGGAGGAGGTTTTATGTTTGCAGAGATGTTCCACCAGACTCCTGCCTGCTGTGCACCCCCCCCCCCCCTACACACCGGGCTCGATAAATCCAGCTCATTGTTCCAGCAGAGACAGACTAGTGCCAGATTTAATTGGTGAACTCGCACCCCGCCGGACGCCGCCTCTCGCCCTCTCCCGCGTCACTTTTTCGATAAGTCCACCGGCCGTGCAGTCGTCATCATCGCCGCCACTCGAGAGCGAAGTGCCTCTTGTGTGCGAGAGGTGGCAAGTAGGCGAGAGCGAGGCGAGCCGCTCAAACATATCTTCATCAAATAACGCGTTGGGAAGCTCAAACTACCGAGCATGATTGTTGAATAGAAAACTTTTTGAGATTGAGATATGAATAGGAAAGTATACGTCTGAACATGTCAGTGGCTACGATTGCATGCCTCTCTGGCTTATTTCTTCTTTTTTTTTCTGCTGCGCTTGGTGCTTAAAACGAGCAGACAAAGAAAAGTCAACACAGACATTGTCCGGCTGAATAAAAGGGCCTCTCCTTGCATAAGCAAAGTCAGTTTGTGTGGAGGTGTCTTTTCATCAGGTGGCTGACTTGGCATTTCACTCACCTTGCTGTCTATGTGTGTGTGTGTGTTGGTGTGTGTGTGTGCAAGAATGAGCAAACATGCAGCCATGCGTGCTGTATGTTTGTCTGCAAGTGCCTGAGTATGAGGGAGGAGGAGGAGGAGGAGGAATGGGGGTGTGTTCAGGTGGATATTTTGCAACAGAGGGGACAGTGTATACGGCTCACGTTCTGACAGCCGTCTGTGTTGTATTCCTGAATTTCAAATATTTTTTCAGCAGAGCGCTGTGTCAACAGAAATTACGTTTCTGACTAGGTTTTTAGTTTTTAAAGGAGTTTTTCCTTCAAAGGCAAACACATCTACAGCAGTCTGGTGGCTGTGTTCAATTACAAGCAGATCCACAGGAACGCTGAGAGCTCTGGGCCCCGGACTGATTCAGTTTGATAATGATCTTTTATGCTCAGCCTGGAAAAGTAAAAAGAAACAGGTGATACAGTCTA